TGGGTTTTTGTTAAATGTGAGCCAAAATCATCACAATTAAAAGAACCAAAGACTTAAACTACTTCAGTCTGTGTGCATTGAATTTATTTAATACACGAGTTTCACAATTTGAGTTGAATTACTGAAATAAATTAACTTTTCCACGACATTCTAATGTATTGAGATGCACCTTTATATATATATATATGATATGACATGAAAATGTGAAAATAATGCATATGTTAATCGGTATCTACAAACCAACATTTTGTTTCAAACGTAAAAAGTCACCCCTGCTGATTTAGGTAAAATTTGCTCTGCTAGAATGTAGTTTTTAAATCATTGATAATTCAGCAATTTAATAATCCATTTATTATTTTTAAATTAAGTTTATTACTGTATTGTACATGTTGTTTGCAGAAACGCATGGAAGGTGCAACATGTGTTTCTTTACAAAAATTAGGTTTAGCAATTGTATATTTAAATGTTGGCCTCTTAAGACAGTTCATTTACTGAATTCAGCACTTCAGACTAATGAGGCCAGCTGTGTAAGCGCAAGTTATTTACAGCCTTCATTGAATATTCAAAGCGCTGTGATTGCAACAATTTTATTCCACCATAAAAAGGAATCACCACAAAACAATTACCCTCCCAATTTAAATGGTAAAAATATATTTATGAAATTATACATCTGTGCAGTATGTAAATACTCTTCCTGGTCACACATGAACTCCCATGAGGTTGACAGGCCGGTTGTTGTATCTTTTTGAGATGTCAGCTTCAATCTGTGTGTGAGAGAGAGACAGATAGATAAAGAGGAAGCTTTTTTCATATTCTCAGCCAGCCCAGGATTTAGTTTTTAATAAATGTTATGTCCACCATGACATTTAACCACATTAGTTAAAACTTTTTTTTTAGCTCTATTAAACTCATTTCCTTTTATATTTAAGACTCTGCCAAGCATCTGCTCCGGCAAAATAGAAATATCTAAACATAAAATATCTAAAACAAACTTTTGAAATAAAGTAATCAGAACAGTAACGTGATTACTTTTAAAAGGAGTAATCAGTAATTTGATTACATTTTCAGAGTAACTTGCCCAACAACTGATTATGATAAACCTGTACTGAAACAAATCCGCAAACACATCATTATAACAAGTTACTGTACCAGTTTCTGGAGCTCCTTGGTGTGAGCAGCCAGGAGATCAATGCGGGGCTCCAGCTTGGCCTGTTCTTCCAGAGCCTCCTGTCCTTTTTCAGCCAGTGTGCCACGCTTCAACACCAAGATATCAGCCTACTTGAGTTTCTGCCGCAGTAATTCTGAAACACGCTCCACATAGCTGAGAAATAAACATACACAGAACACCAGATTTATCATTATCCGACTACAAGATTTCAGCTACATCAACATGAAACTATAGATAACTGTTTGTTTAATTTTTTTTTTTCATGTGACTAATGGCTTCAAGGAATAGTTCATTCAAAAATGATGTACAAGATTTAGATTAATTCTTCATCAAAACAGATTTGGGGAAATGTAGTATTACATCATTTGCTCACCAATGGATCCTCTAGTCTACAGTGATTAGGTGCTGTCAGAATGAGAGTTCAAACAGCTGATAAAAACATCACAGTAATTCACAAGTAATCCACATGACGCCAGTCCATCAATTAATGTCTTGTGAAGCAAAAAGCTGCATATTTGTGAGGAAAAAAATCCATCCTTAAGGTATTTTAACTTTAAACCATTACTTCTGGCCAAAATACAAGTCTATAAGCCATGCTTCCTCCAGTGAAAAAGTCCATCCTCTGTTGTCCTCCCACATCAAAATTTACACACACATATTTGTTTATGATCAAATGGTGCTTGATCTGTGCATACTTCTCTCCTGATTCAGATGAGATGACTTTTTCCACTGGAGGAAGCAATATTATGGATACAGGACTCGTATTTTAGCCAGAAGCAACGGTTTGAATATAAAAACATCCAAATGATGGATTTGTTTCTTTTCCTTCACAAGACATTAATTGATGGACTGGAGTCATGTGGATTATTGTGAAGTTTTTATCAGCTGTTTGAATTCTCAATCTGACGGCACCTACTCACTGCAAAGGATCCATTGGTGAGCAAGTGATGTAATTTTAACATCTTAAAAAACTGTCTTAAATAATTAAGTGATTGCTTACCTAAATAGACATGGTCTTTTTCATACAGGAACACGATCTCTTGCCAGTTCTGTTGACATTAAATAATATATAGCATTTTATTATTATTATTAATAAATACAGCATTGCACATTAAAAAAAAATTAAACAGCAGAGAAATGCACCATCACCTTCATCCTTTGTGATGAATATGTCAGACTTTTGTTCCCGTTTTGTTGTTTTCCTCCCTATGTGTTCCTGGTTTTCCCTGTTTCCTTATGCCCATATTTGGTTCTTCCTGTTCCTGTCCCTAATTAGTTCCATTAGTTCCAGCTGGTTTTTATTAATTATCTCGTTTGTCTCCAGTTACTTAAACCCGGTGTTTGGCGTCTGGTGTTTTATGTCATCCTTGTGTTCCTACCTGCTCTGTGTTTCTCCTGGATTTGTGAGTTCATTAAAGACTGTTTGTTTAAGCTTCTCCAACGTCTCCAAGTCAAAAATATTTTTGGTGGATGCTTCTGTTCCTTTTTAATATTTCAATTATTCCTAAACAATGACAATAGTGAATACCTGCAAAAGCAACAATGTATGAGTAACTGTCAAACAAAAATAAATAAGTTTGTACTATTATTTATTTGCATGAGCCAGAGAGCAATTGTTTGTTCTCCTCTTTCTATGGCATATCCTGAATGGCAGCATTGATTTTCTCTTTAATTGTCATAACTGCACTTTGCCATTTCAGCGTGCAGTGCCTCCAGTCCACCAACCAGTCTGAATGATAGAGACAAAAGCAAAACATTAAATGGATCTTTGTGCAAGATCTAAACTACTGTGTATAGAAGTCAAGCTACAGCACTTCACACAATATGTTTAAGAATTGTGTAACGTTATACATAAATGACTGTAAAGCTGTTTTACCCAAAAGGTTACTGGTTTGGATGTCAATTGGGAGATTCTGGATGCTCTGATAAAACAGATTTCAATAACAAAGGTAAATACATTGTAATAACACTCACGGCAATGTTTTGCACATTATTATGGTCTTATGATATTAATGGGAAGACAATGAAAAGTGCAGGTGTAAGTTACGCCAAGTAAATAATGCAGACTTTATATTAATACAAATACGGAACTATGCAATGATACACAATTATATTATTTGAAATGTTTTTTAACAGCTTGTCAATGTCTACAAGCATATTGACTTTTATTTACACAAGGAGTGCAAGACTCCAAAACCGGTGACACTTAATTTCAACCAAAGAATGTTTTGTTTTACCTCCATTGCAACCGTGGTTATCGTTATTTTGCTAAAATAATAACTAAAGCAGTTCCATGCTCTTACATCAAGCCGATGAGATGTAGCTCCAGTTTACAGCAAAGAGCATAGAAGACCTATATATACTCTTTGTTTACAGTTCCACTTACACGTACATGCACAACTGACCAGTCAGCACACGCGACACTGCTGGGTCACACGCGCCACCTGCTGAAAGACCAATGAACTACACGAATGGAAGAATCGTTAATCACTTCCATGTAACGTCAAAATAAAAGTCACTACAAATCGCTTGTAGCAAAGTTACTCTGATTTGTCTTTTACAGTCACGTGTGTTCCGTGAACCCAAACATTTCTGGAATTCACTGTAAATTGACAAGAAAGAAAAAAAAAAGTTGTGGATATTGTCCATGTCAATTATTAATCCTTGTAATAGATTGGCTAAAAAAGAAGAGTGGAGTGGCTAAAAAAACTACTCTGAAAAGCTGAGAATATCAATTAATGAATTAATCCTTGTAATAGATTGGCTAAAAAAGAAGAGTGGAGTGGCTAAAAAAAACTACTCTTAAAAGCTGAGAAAAGAGCTTTCAGCCAACATTCCGGCGTCAGTATGGACTGGTCTGAGGAACTTCACCATGTACAATAGGCACAAGAACAGTTTTTTTCCCCGCAGGCTATATTCAGCCTGAACAATTAAACTTTCATAATTATACATCATCCATCACAACTGACATATTTATACACATCCAAAATGTGTACACTTGTAAACTGCACACTTTGTAAATAACATATCTGCACACTTATATCTGTACATTTATCTAAACAATTAAATTATCTATACTTCTATTTCTGTATATAGTACATTATTGAATTTCTGTTTTTCTTTTCTTACATTAGTGTTATATTCCATCCCTACTGTGTTATACCTATGTATGTCTGCATTATGTCTGTACTTTCTTCTACACTGGAAGCTCCTGTCATCAAGTCAAATTCCTTGTGTGTGTAAACATACTTGGTAATAAAGCTATTCTGATTCTGATGTTTATTTATTCATAAATAATAAATATTTATTACCTGTACTTTATCTCTTTATACTTTGCTTTTTATGACATTATTTCCATAACTACGAGTCTAGTAATAAAAAGCTATATCACATTCAAAAAGCTGAAAATTCAAACACATTACTAAATTCCTCAGAAATTAATTAGCTCACTTTTCAAAAGGTAAACTAATATCTTTGGTGCCACTACATTTTCATTTAACTGAGTGACAAACAGCAGAAGTGGTCTGTCCACTAGATGGCGCGATTTCCTTTATATTGACACCACTGAGAAAAATAGTGTGGCGCATTACAATACATTTTTTCATACTTATAAGCAATAACAACATGAAATTCGTCCCCTTAGAATTATAAGGTTCTATCTGACATTTTTGTCAAAATTGATTTATTCACATTTTTTCAGACTTTTTAGAAATAATCTAAATAACTCTTATTTAGAAAACAAAAAAAGTTATATCTATAACGTATATGGAATGCGAAAACTTTGAAGCTCAATATCTCAAAATCTCTCAGAATGCGGATAGAAACGTATTATTCCGAGGTGGCGAATAGTAATTTCACATTTTCTTGCACCATGCATTGCATTTGTGCTTCCTTTCTATTGTACTGCTTGCATAATTCATAAAGTATTTCAACATACACTTTATGTGGACATAAATTTATAGTAAATATCCTGCTCTTTCCTCGGTTTTATTTGAACAAGGTGGTTTTATAGGTTTTTCTGTTTGCCGGTTCACAGCACACCTTATCTAACGTGTCCGCCAAAGGGACTTTAGCTGTAAATAACTGCAGGTGTCTCAGGTGTTTCCAACAAGTCGTACAGTTGACAGAATATCTAAGTATTTCTCCTGTTTTCTGACAAAGCAGATTAAAATCAGCAAAGAAAGAGAGCAGAAATAGGTTTGAAGTTTGAAATAAAGGTCAGTATGCCACTATTATGCAATGTTAACATCAAAGATAGGATTGTAGCTCTGCTTCTTAAAGTTTGGATATCTTGGGCAACTCCAGCAACCCTATACTTAATAACCAACTTACACAGGAGAGGCCTTTGAAAAGAAACTTCATTGTACTCCAAACAGACCTGTTTTAATCACTCCAAAGACCATTTCAGCACCTTGCTGAGAGCAGAAATCAGAATGTTAATCCTAAATCGGTTAAACTCTTTTATGGTCTTGTGAAGCACGATGGCTGTAACAGTTAAAGGGAACCATAGGCAATGCTTTATTTTCATATTTTTTTGAATGGCATTCAAACCTGCTCCTATCTCAGCTGGGGATCCAGTATTCGTCTGTGATTTCCCCAGATTATGCAAATTTGAGCATCATCTGTCTGGAGGCCGTGTGAAATTAAACATCAGAGGTGAAATTGTGAACATGCTCAGGTGGCAAGCATCCTTCTGTAGTTATAAAAAGCCCCTACAATTCTAAAAAAAATATTTTATATGTAAAAGCCATATTCAAGAATGCAAACTATCTGTGAATAAAAACTACCGACCTTTGCATTTGCAGTACAAAAACACATATAGAATACAAATAAACCAGGGCAAACATATAAACAATTACATTTTCTTTGTCAAAAGCCTTAACGGTAGTCATTTATTTGTAAAGTGGAAATTGTCTATGGAAATTAGAGAGAGAGAGAGAGAGATTTCATAT